AAACTTTAGTGTAAGGAATTCAATGTGTAAAAAAGTCATTGTTTAAAATTCAGCGCTAAGAAAATTCAGTGTAAAAAAATTCAGTGTTTAAAATTCAGTGTACAAAAAAAGACAGATTCCAATGAGCCTGTTTTTCTAACATAATCTCCAAGTAGCAACTGCCCCCAATGTCTAGCTTTTAGCCAATCACAGCAGCAGTAGCAGCTCTAGTGTATCACACTCTTGATTTGTTTCACAAGTAGTGGAGTTACCTGAATAAATCAAACTCTTACCAAATTTTGGTCAAGACGGATGGCCAAACATCTTCCCATCCATAAAGGCACACTCTAAAAATGAATTGGCTAGAAAAACAACCAGTCTAATTGCTTAAATCACTTTTGGTCAGATTAACCAATATATTGGTCAGAAACTGACCAATCCATTGGTTTTGGATCAACCTATTTAACCGGTTATTCAAACAACTTACAAAAACGGTAACTGATGGTTTACTATTCTGACTTTTTGGCTGTTGTCAAGTGTAGTGTGGAATAATTATGGACCTAGAGAACAACTAAAATGATGTGTAAGTGTACAGCATGCAATTCTTAGCATTGACCTTTGTCCCACCAGATGCATTATAGTATTATATTCTAATAAGCATTAGTGGCAACAGTGCTGTTAGATGTAGGAGTTTGTCCTGCATTCAAAGGGTTTGTGGTTCAAGCCCTGGTTTTGGCTTTCAATGTTGTTACAGTAATTTACCAATATTTTGGTCAATGTGACCATTTGTATTNACTTGTGAGGTAGTTTAGCCATTTGATTCAGGTGTGGGCAAGGGCAACAAACAGCTGTTTTGGCTTTCTGAAATCCCATCTAACCTTGCAAGGACCAGTGACCTCATATGTACTCAGACACATTACCTAGTTTAAAGCCATGTATGTCATGCATCTAAACATTTTGCCAGATTAGCACTATACGGTACAAATTGTGATTCCTTTGTGTTTTTTGTTAGTTATGACAACGCGATCGGCCAGCAACTACCCAGCTCGACACCTACAAAGTAAGGACTTTTTAAGCCCCCTCCACCTGCACCCCTGTCCACTATTCTGGCTTCACTCTCCTGGCTCTGATAAGGACCGTATGTTCAAGTGAACATGGCTTTGGCCATCAAAGCCCATGCTGTCAATGTAATGCTTTAGCCACTGTTATGTTGTTGTTGTTAGTTACGTGTTATGTATCACAAAAACTCGGTCTTGGTTTGTTTCGTTCTCTATCTCGGAAACATCTGAATACCTCGACAGACAGCAGGGGCATTCATGTGTTTTGAAGGCGTGGTTTTGAGGGGTGGTCTCAAGAGAGAGGCATGGTTGTGTATGTTCAAAAATATAGCTTGCTCGAACCGTTTTTCCAAGATCTCCTATGTCACCTTTAACTAAGAGGTGGAGAACAGCAATGATTAAGGATGGGAATCGAAAACCGGTTCTGAACAGGAACCGGTTCTGTGTGTTCCAATTCCATGGCACCGTTTGGCAGCTCGCCTAACGGTTCTTTTAACGGTTCCAGGCAGTACCAGAGCCTAGTGCTGGCAGCACGACTTATGCCATGTTTTCTACGTAACTTACATCAATTATTTTAAGCAAGTTACGCACACGGCATTCAGTAAGCAAGTACGACGTGACCAGGTATAAGTCTAGAAAAGCAAAACAAAAGAAATGGCATCCCAACAGGTAAACCAATCGAAAGATTTGATGTAAAGTGGCAATAACATCCGCGGGAGGAAATACATCCAACATGCAGAAACCCCTGCGCACACAACATGGCATACATTTTAACGAATGCTGTGTTTTTGATGCTTCTGGACAGAAGCTAAAGTTACGACCAGCATGGAAGGCAACTCTGGTGGTAAGTAGCTAGTTTTATATCACTGGCTGTGGTTAATGTGGTTCCTAGAGAATCATATGCCATTTCTCAAAATCAACCAATCTCCTACCTCTCTTTGGGGTTATTAAACATGCTACGAAGTTGCTCCGAAGTTCAGGGAGCGAGAGAAAGGTTAGGCTCTTTTATTTAAATCGAGGGGAGATGAGTTTATTTCCCGAAATTGTACAACTTTTTCATTAAACGGATGCTTTCTCCATTAGATTTAGATGAGTGTGACGGGACGGGTAGCCTGGCTGGCTCAGGCTGGCAGCTCCTGTTCACTATCTTCTGAGGCAGGCAGAAATAAAATATCCCAGGCAAAGGTCGACGAATGTCATTGTGCACTTACCAAGTTCATTGTTTCACAGAGTCGATAATTGAATTGAATCGGGAATTGAATCATTTCACAGATGGATAAGGGAATTGGAATAATGAAAATCTTTTCAATTCCCAACCTTAGCAATGATAGAGGTGAAAGGGTTTTTTTTCATTTGTGAACCTCATACACAGGCTTCAGGACACATATGACAAAATGTTTATAATGTGACTTTTGCATATTATTGGCCCTTTAAGAGTTGCAGAATACCATCCCATGAGGATTAGAGCTTAAAAAAAATCTGGTCACATTCAAATTACAAACCTCTGGAAGTACTTAAAGTATAAAATTATTATATACTTTTCATAAATCATAAGTGTTTTTAATTAAGAGTAATTTAACTTGAATGTGCTTTACCGGAGACATGCATGTTTGTCAAAAAGCTCTACTGCCACCTACCGGTGTCATGATTTTATCAAGAGCTCAGACCCCCATGCAGATAAACCAATCCAGAGAGACAAGAGAAAAAGTTTAACAGGTTTATCGAGAAGTTTTGTGGAGGTTCCAGTGTTGCTCTGAACACTGCTCAACCGGAACTGAAAGGTGAGGGGAAGACACTGCGGTTAGTTCAGGTTCAGTGGGAGAAGTGCAGATGCATTGTAGTATTATATTCTAATAAGCATTCGTGGCAACAGTGGTGTTAGATGTAGAAGTTTGTCCTACATTCAAAGGGTTTGTGGTTCAAGCCCTGGTTCTGGCTTTCAATGTTTTTACAGTAATTAACCAATAATTTGGTGAATGTGACCATTTGTATTGGTTTGCCCTTTTACCAATCTTGATTAGTTAAAAAAACTACCAAATTAGATTGGTTGGACACATAACTACTAACCAGATTCTTAAAAT